GGGAAATCTAGCTGAAGAAAATTTTGTGATAGCAAAATCAGAGTCTCAGAGGCACAGAGTTTATCTAGGGTTGACCATATAAAACAGGCCTCATTTAGCATTAAATCCCATTTTATGTGATCAGGGTTTATTTTTAAACGGGCCACTCAAAATCTATCTAAAATCTATTATTTTAGAATTTATCAATTTTATTGATATCTTGTTCAATATTAGTACTTGAACAGTGAAGTAGATGTTAGTTTTAATGACTTTTAAGATCACAGTTACTTAAAAAATTTTTCTTTTTATTCTGGAAAAAAAATCAGTAGGTGGGGGCAACTCGCTGTATAAGATCCATATAATATTACTTTAAACCCATTCATCAGTTTTGGATTAGCCAATCCTCAATATTTCTGCAAATTTTCAGAGGCTTATTTTTTGAAGGATCATTTTACCATCCCTTGAGTGCTTTTCCTGAGCTCAACACTTTCTTAAGTGACACAGAAATGGAGTTAGCCGACAACTGAAATTATGAGATGGAAGGCTTTACTCTGAGGAATGTACGCAATTTAAAATGGGATATCAGGTATCTCCATCGTTAAAAAACACAAAAACATCCTCTGCCATTTTCTCATTTTATGCTCTAACTTCTGGTGATGTTGCTCAGCCCTCTGCTCTCTTCTTTTTTGCTCTATTTTATTTCTGTTTTACTTCAGGGGAAGGAAATCCCTTTAAGATTTGCTTCAGACAAAGAAATTGTTTTGTTCAGCCACTATGGCAGAACTCAGATCTGTGATTCGCTTCACATGTAAGGGTTCAATTGAATGTTTGAATGTATGGCTTGCCAGGGCCCCCTCTTCATTGTCTGTATACAAAGGCCGTCCATGCTCTTTTGTTCACCACAAAGAGAGAAAAGGCAGCTTAGTTTTCCAATTATCCAAGTCTATAAGCAAGATAATTTAAATTTCTTTGAATTTCCTTTAATAATCTTTGGATCAACTTGAAGTAGAGTTCCTCTATATTATTATTAATCACTCCTCTTTGGTAAAATATGTAAATGATCTTACACCAAATTTTAAAGGAGAGGATCTTTCAGTACATCACTTATCTCCATTTTTGCTGTCTAATGCTCATTCTCCACTCAGAAGCTAGTCATTTTTTTCCCCAAGTATAAAGCAGAATATATCACTATCCTGCTCAAATCTTGTAAGAGTTAGTTTCCTATCCCAGATAAAATATATAATCTTACCTCCTTACTTGGCTTCCAAAGCCCTACCTGCTCTGGCTCCTGCTACCCTACCTTCTGAGCCTATTACACTCTCTCTTCCACCCCTCTCCCCTTCTCCATTCAACTTCTTGTTCTTACCAAGTTTATTGATGTCTCAGGATCTAGGAATGTACTCTTCCCTCTACCTGGAATTCTCATGTCTTTAGAGAGAGACCCTTCCTGACCACTTCAACGATAAATTCTTTTCTACTCAGTTTTTACCTCATTCCTGCTTTACTTTCTTCCTAGCACACATGATGTATATATTACATTTGACACCTGATGAGTGCATATCTCTGGAGGTCCTATTATGTATTTGCTGTTTCACAACTTGAATGTTAAATCCACAAAATCAGAAATCTTGTTCTTCACTACTGTTTTCTCAGCACCTAGGATGGGACCTTTTTAATAAATTATAACATAATGTTAAAATGGGACTCCTTCTTTATCTCAGTTGCAACAGCCCTAAGTCAAGAATAATTTAACAGGGGTGACATCCTAATGTGCATTATTCTGGTCTTCTGTGCAGAACATGCTGATGTTGTGGAACTGGTTACACTGGTATTAGCAGGTCACCTCTAGCTAATGAGGGTCAAGTTGAATAATTTACAGCAGCAAGAGACCTGGGTGGAGGTCTGACCTCAGAGATCTAGGCACAGAGGTGGGAAGTCCCATATAGATGGGGGAAAGGTGGTATGTGGGCCAAATTATTCAAAATAGTTCTCCTTAAGAAAAGGCAGCTTAGTTTTCCAATTATCCAAGTCTATAAGCAAGATAATTTAAATTTCTTTGAATTTCCTTTAATAATCTTTGGATCAACTTGAAGTAGAGTTCCTCTATATTATTATTAATCACTCCTCTTTGGTAAAATATGTAAATGATCTTACACCAAATTTTAAAGGAGAGGATCTTTCAGTACATCACTTATCTCCATTTTTGCTGTCTAATGCTCATTCTCCACTCAGAAGCTAGTCATTTTTTTCCCCAAGTATAAAGCAGAATATATCACTATCCTGCTCAAATCTTGTAAGAGTTAGTTTCCTATCCCAGATAAAATATATAATCTTACCTCCTTACTTGGCTTCCAAAGCCCTACCTGCTCTGGCTCCTGCTACCCTACCTTCTGAGCCTATTACACTCTCTCTTCCACCCCTCTCCCCTTCTCCATTCAACTTCTTGTTCTTACCAAGTTTATTGATGTCTCAGGATCTAGGAATGTACTCTTCCCTCTACCTGGAATTCTCATGTCTTTAGAGAGAGACCCTTCCTGACCACTTCAACGATAAATTCTTTTCTACTCAGTTTTTACCTCATTCCTGCTTTACTTTCTTCCTAGCACACATGATGTATATATTACATTTGACACCTGATGAGTGCATATCTCTGGAGGTCCTATTATGTATTTGCTGTTTCACAACTTGAATGTTAAATCCACAAAATCAGAAATCTTGTTCTTCACTACTGTTTTCTCAGCACCTAGGATGGGACCTTTTTAATAAATTATAACATAATGTTAAAATGGGACTCCTTCTTTATCTCAGTTGCAACAGCCCTAAGTCAAGAATAATTTAACAGGGGTGACATCCTAATGTGCATTATTCTGGTCTTCTGTGCAGAACATGCTGATGTTGTGGAACTGGTTACACTGGTATTAGCAGGTCACCTCTAGCTAATGAGGGTCAAGTTGAATAATTTACAGCAGCAAGAGACCTGGGTGGAGGTCTGACCTCAGAGATCTAGGCACAGAGGTGGGAAGTCCCATATAGATGGGGGAAAGGTGGTATGTGGGCCAAATTATTCAAAATAGTTCTCCTTTTGAGTCTTTAAAAGTAACAAGAGAAAATAAAAGTGTGAAGCAAGAATGCCTAGTTTCAACTATCAACACATGGCATCTGTTTAAAACTGAGGGGGATATATTTTAATTAGGGCCCTAATTCAAAGGGGTATGAGCAGCTCAGAAATATCAAATCCAGAAGATGCACAGTGATGTGAGATTGGAGGAGGGATGCTGCACTATCTGTGACTCAGCCTTTCCTTTATGGTCTCCTCTCTAGTCTGTGATTGTTTTAAAATATCAACCTGATATTACTTTCCTGTTTTAGACCTTCAAATACCTGTTGAAGGGCTTTTGTTCATCCTGAAGATACAGTGAACCCGTCCCTACATTTCCTGATCCCTTCCTTACCATTCTGCCTATCTTTTCTACTCACCTGGTTCTCTTTTCTGTAATTCCTATCTCCCAGTCCTCAAAGATAGCCTCAGTTTCTATTAACTCTAGGGCATGCTTTTCCACTGTATACAACATTTTTCTTTGCTCTTCCCTTTGGGTCCTTATCCTTCAAAATTCTAGATTCTTTCAGTTTTTTCCTGAAAGCATATACACCGTTAAAACCTCATTATATGCAAACTTACATGTTCAGAATACTCACCCCACTTGTTATCTATGTACTTAAGGTATTTCTTTTTCCACTAGAATGTAAGCTCAACTTATTCATCACCAGTCCCCATGATCTAATGCTTCATCCTTAGCAGGCATCCAATATTATCAGTTGAATTTTCTGTTATGGAATGTATTTTTCTGGAGTGATGGCATCATACACAGAACCAAACAATATGATTAAGACAATATATACAATCAGATTAGTGTCAATGAACTGTGTAAACACAAGGTATGCCATGTATAAATGCCACATCATTTAGGACACAATAGTTAACACAATAATTTAAGAAATCTTTATCCAAGTTTCTGTTAATTGCTTATGCTAGCAACCTCAACTTGTTTTTGTCCTTTGTCTCTGGTGATATATCAATACCTTCTAAGTAAGTTTTCAGGATAGCAGGAAGTCCTGCAAGGACTAAATCTGTTAACTTCTGGGCTTATGCAGGTAGGCCAGGTAAATGCTCCAGAGGCTGCAAAAACTGCCCCTATGCTTCTCAGCCTGGTGTGAGGTTTATCATCTGGCAAAAATCTTCCAAGAATTTATCCCCTGGCATTTTTCCTTTCCTGAGAAAAATCTCAAGTGAAATATGAAGCAGTAGAATGTGAACAAATGGAATTCCTCCAAAACCAAAACCACTTGTGTGATGACAAAATGTAAATAATTTGTGCAGACAAGGATTTAATGAAGAAAGTTGAACTCAACTTGTATATTTTCTTATGGTGTCAGACACAAAGTGGCAGGCTAAATAATGGCCCCCACGTGTCCTAACCCCAGAACCTGTGAATGTTACTCATATGGCAAAGGGACTCTGCAGATGTGATGACATCCAGGCTTTTGAGATTATCTGGTCATCTGGGATTATCCAGGTGGGTCCAGCATATAATCACCATGGTCCTTATAAGAAGGAGGAAGGAGACCACAGAAATAAGAGGCAGCACCATGGAGGCAGTGATGGGAGCAGAGAGGAAGAAGGGGCGTCAAGTCAGGGAACCCCAGCAGCCTCTAGAAGCTGAAAAAGGCGAGGAGACAGCTCTCCTCAGAGCCTTGCCGAAACCTCAACTTTTCAGCTCAGTGGAACTGATTTTGACTTCAGACCCCCAGACCTGCAAAAGAATCATCTGTGTTGTTTTTAAGGCACTTGTTGTGGTAGTTTGTTAAAAAGCAATAGAAAAGTACTATAAGCCCTCTCTTCTCAATTTAATTGAGAAGAGTATTTTTTCAAAGTTAGAAATTTAAAACATATAAAAGCATAAAAGTTAGAAATTATAAACATAATATAAACACATAAAAACAGTAATGACCTTGAGTTGAGATTTATTGGACTGGTTTCTGAAACAACTAGGGAACTGTTTTTTTAAAGCAAAGTGATTGCTTCCACTTTATCCATGATTTCAAAGGAGTAATTTGATGAGTATACTATTTTTACTCTGTTAGCACAGTAGACCTAATAATTTTGAAATCACTTGTGAATAGACCTATATTATTATTATTATTTTGATATCATTAATCTATAATTACATGAAGAACATTATGTTTACTAGGTTCCCCCCTTCACCAAGTCTTCCCCACATACCCCTTCATAGTCACTGTCCTATATTATTTTTAATTAGAATTTTTTAATATATCATTTCAATGCTTTCTGGGTGGTGGCAGGAATACAGAGATGCTGAACAACCATAGTGTCATCGCAATTGTCTTTTCAGTGTTGTGTCATCTTATTCTAATCATATCAATATTTCCTTAAAATGAAAAAAGTACACTAAATATTACAGGGCATAATTTAGTCTTTGACATTTTTTAAAAATTATTTAAAATCCTTTCAAGCTTTTTGAGATATCCTTCTCCCCTAGGAAGAATCCCAAGATGTCTTGGAAATTTCTCTCATTTTTTTTTAAACGTTAAGAATTTGTTGAAGATTTTTTACACTTGAACATATTGTTTAAAATATAATCTTTCTTCCCATGTGACAGCCTCACACAAACAAAGTATTTAAAGAAGATGAAGGTCTGTCATTGCTCTGTGTAATTAACAGAGACTTTTAGAATTAGAGGATGTTTAAAAAAAGAACTCAGAAGAAAACTTTAGTGTGTTAATGATAATCATCTCATTTCACATCAGAATTTCAACTGGTAAAAATTCTATTTACAGGTGTCATCTGCTACAACTAGTCAATCTTATTTTACATTGTGAGTTTTTCTTTCCCCAATTACATATACGAATCAGATGGTGGAGTACAACAGCATGGCGAGAGGTTTAGATTTGCTTCTAATTTAGCATGTGATGTAACAACTTCCTTTTTCTATCATCTACAACTTTGGAAGCTCTCAGTTCTTTTGTTTTGTATCTAAATTGCTTAAAATCACCTTGCCTTTTAGTGTATAAAGACTTGGCATAACTTTTTGGTAGTCTACATTCTAGAAGATTAACTCTTGATGTTTCTAATAAAATTAAAATCTATATAAATGTATATTTAACAATTTATTTTGGATTATCTATTGACATGCACAATCTTGCAAATATAGTTCACCTAAGATATAAACAACTTTACAGTAGTTAGGAGACAATATTAAGGGTCCATTTTTTTTTAAATTTCTTACGTTCATAGTTTTCTTCTACAATAAGACTGTGGTGAATTTGTGAGAGGTTAGTGATCCTAACATACTATATATCCTAAACTGAATTCAAATTACTTAATAAAATGCTTTCCATTGATTACTTGTTATGGGAAACATAAGCAGTTATTGTCAGTTAAGATTTTTTCCCAATTTTGACTAAGGAAAGTGGACTCTAATAGTTTACCTTTCTGCAGTGTACAAAGGGCCTTAATCATTAAAACTGTCTTGTAACAATTTCTATCTGTCTTTATATATGCCTTTGAGACACTTGCTAGAACTGTAAAGTCAGAATGAAATACATGGATATATTTCCCAATATTTTACTCAATTTTTGAGAGATTTCATCAGATATAAACTTTATTATCAGTTGCATCTTTGACAAATTCTAGTTGTAAGACATTAACTGAGACATTACTTTTTATGGCTAATTATCAAATTATTTACTATGGTTCAATGTCTTTTTTTGTAACTAAATGAGTTTACAGAGTTAATATTACAAAAACTCTACAAGTAAAACCAATCATTAAAAATACGAGATAAATACAAAAACCTCCAATACGACTACATGCACAGACATGTTGTCAACTGGGAAGAACTTCATATCTAATCTCCAGTCCATCTCCATATATTTGAGAGGCTGACAGGCTCAATTTCAGCAAGCCAGTAGTGGCTACATCTATGGGCTAGGAATCCCATCGCCTGGCTCCTAAGCCAAGACAATTCGTAGCACAGCACACAGACTTCCTCTCATATGTACACATGCACACACATACACACACACACACACTTTACCTTAATATAGTTCTGAACAAGCAATCTGAACAAGCACATTTCAACATAAATTTGCATGTTATGCTGTGTACTTTCTTACCATAATTTTCTTTGGCAGAAGAGCACAAAAACAAAGTACATAAAAAAACAGCAAGTGTTTGCTGCATTATGAGTTTTCAAAAATTGTGTCCTTTTGTCAGATTGACTGAATCAGCTTCTAGTAAGTATACAAATTTACCAAAATTAAAGTGTTCTCAGAAATATGTCATAGAAATTCACTAAGCAAAACACTAACCCAACTCCAAGACTAGACTACATGGCTGCACATACTTCATTGCCTACAAGTAGACACCATTCTCTGTCCTCACATGTGTCCTTCCTTAAACATACAACAAATGTACCAGTTATTCTATGACTTTAGATTATGTATTCCCTTTCATATTAAAATAAAGAATGTGCATATTTCTCTCCTGTGCACATACATCCACCAAAATTTTCCAGTAGTAATAAAATACTAATAAACTTCCCACAGTAAAGTGATGCTGTACAAAGTCTAGTAACAGTTAATCACGAAGCTTTGTGTTAGAGAAGGAAGTTATAATGCTTCACAACACTGGTAAATGTGGCTTAATTATACTTTGCCAAGCTAATCAATTAAAAAACATTTTAGAAACCTCGTTGGCTGTAGTATAGGTTAGGTTTCAATTTTTTAAAAATTGCCTCTGAGCAATAAACAATGGTTATATTTAGATAATAAAGTTATTAAGTTCACAGAGATATCTAATTATATATTCAATAGGATTTATTTGAAAAATAAATGTTGAATAATTTATGATTTAAAATGGTTAGAATAAAGTTCAGGGGAAATATGAGCAAATCATTTCTCCAACAATTTGAAATATAGGAGGTTTAAACCTTACATATTTTTGTCAAAATAATAATTACCCATGGATGACAGATGCTGCTCTCTACTTAATGGAGGGTCTCAAATTTTACTCTGCATCTCATTGGGAAGGAAATACAAATTTTTAAAATAGAATTAACTTGGGGAAAGGCATCAATGCTGCAACTCTCAGCACCAAATGTTTTTTCTTGGAGCACCAAATGCTTTCAGGAAAACATTCCAAGTATCAAAGTTTTCAGATAGATAAATATTTATGGATCAAATCCATAAAGAACAGACATTGTTATGAAATATATATAGATGCCTTCAAAACTTTCTTTCCAGGCAGAGCAGACACATAAGTTAGGAGTCATTTCCCACTTAATTGTTGTTGCAATCTTATGCAACACAAACGGATTATGGATAAGGATTTACTCGTTTAAACACAGAAGGTAGATCTTGATTGATGTTATGTCCTCCAGAAAGTTAAACAGGAACTTTCTCTCTATAGAATATAAAACGTCATTAAACTTGTGTAAATGGCTTTATTCTAAATGTTTGTTCTCCTGGTTAAAAGGTGTAGAGGTTTTCAATTTAGTCCTTCGGTGAGAAAACAGTACTCTTTAAAGAAAATTCTTCTCATTTGCTAATTACCATAACTGAAGAAAACCATAATATAGATCTGGTTCATATGTTTAAGTGCAATGAAACTCTATCTGTCCTTGAACAAACTTTATGAATATCACCTTTTTAATCTAAATATAGACTACTGCCTCTCCCTCTTCACTGAGAACTCTCCATAGTTGGATTAGAACTGGAAATCATTTGCATTACAATCTACAGAAAGCTATTTTTCCATTTAAGAGCAGAGGTCTTTTCACACTATGCATGTAGCAAAATACAAGTACCATATGATATTGGACAAATTCAAAGTAACTATCAAAGAAACAGCCTTAGCTTCTACAGTACCTTGAATGCTCTTAAATACTACCTGTGGGTGTACAATGATCAGAAATTAAGTGCCAATTTAAGAAAATAGCAATAGGCCCTGTCCCAGATGCAAATGTATAACAAAGGTCTACAAGAATTCCCTGGGTGTACAACAGGCTTCCAAATCACACTTGAACACATGGATAATTACTGCCAACTGTATCATTTGTGAACATAAGGGATATTCTGGAATTGAATATAGTTTTATCTCTGAAACTAACTAGGACAATTATATATTTAACCAAACAAAGCTTGAGTTTATGTGGGCTTGAAGAAAATGGTAGCAGAGGCACAAGTAAAATTTTATTTGTGAGTATGTAGACACATGACTTTGGATCCAGCCAGCCAGTGACATAAATAAACTCAAGCAAAAGATTCAAGCTAGAGAATATACATGTATATATATAAACACATATTTGTGTGAGTAAGGCTTCTTGGAGCAGTGCCACAATCTGGACACCAACCAACAGAATCACTCCCCATCCTTTGAAATTTCCATTAAGAGCACAATGCGGGTAATTACATTGGGATACTCTGAATAGCTCCTTCCATCTTGTGCACTGATATGCCCGCCAAACATGAAATGTTCACTTCCTCCCTTCCAATGTGATGGTTGTTGAACTTATTTTTAGTGTCATTTGATAAGCCTGTGTGCTCGCAGAGAGACATCCCACTGACCCAGCCACTGGTCATTGTCTATACCAGTTCACATCAAAGCAGGCGCACTTTGTCAGGTTTCGAGTCGAATATCCATTTCGCATCTGAAGTACAGTATCGAAAGTGACTAGATCATTTGAGCTTTTTCCTTCAGCTGCTGCCTTCCTCCTCCCCCACAGTGTTTCCGCTCACACTAAAATAATTTGGCATCGTCGACATGACACGATGGTGGTTTTTCTAAAAAATTGTAATAGGTACATTTTCGATGTTTTGTGCTGGCTGACCCTCCTGAAAACTTGATTTGTAAATTGGTGAGAGGTCTTTTTTTTCTCGACTGAAACATAACCAAGGTAGAGTGCCCCTCAAAATCCAAGTAATGCGCATACAGTAATAGGTCATTCAATGTCAAAAGGCATAAAAAAGATGAGCAAAATCTTCACAGGCTGCTGCTTGCTGTTGCCTTTAATTATATTAATTAAACTTTGAAATTTTCATGCAAAGAGAGTTGCTGGCTTGTGACGCTGAAGAGCCCTTGGAGACTTGGAGGAAGAAAAAACCCTGAGCGGAAGCTTTGTGGTTACTGCTTCCTTTAAATAAAAAGCAAAACAAACTCCTAGGTGTGTTTACAAATTTCAATGTTTTATGCACTACTAAACCTTAAACATAGAAAGAGGGGTAAATCTACCACTTACAAGGACAAGTTCTCAAATCATGAGTACCTTAAACTTCACTCAAGATCTCTGGTTAGAGGCTATCTGCTTGTGGAATAACACTCTATTAATTTTCTTCTTTTCCCGTGTGTAAAATGAAATAAAGGTGTCTTCAGAAACTAAAGGGTAAACTCTTGCTTGCCACCAATACCTTGAGGCATCCTGTCTACATTTCATCATGCGTGTGCACTTTACAGTGTTAGAATGACAAGATTTTCCAGTCAAAGCTTCTCGTAAGGCACATTGTGACCGGGGACTTGGAAGGATTTTGTGATCTGACACAGCTAAAAGGCAATGGACTTCTGTATTTGCTTAGCCTGGTGGGAAATTTCATACCCTGCCTGTGGCTAACATTCTTGCCATGCAAAAACACAAGTGCCATGTTTCCATGTAAAACACTCTTCTTTCCACTAAAGATGGCAAGTTGTTTCATGGTCCCTGTTTTGATATCATCTTCGTGCTGTTGTTTTTGCTTTCTTCTCTTCCATACATTCAAACAAACTTTCTTGTATAATAAACCACAGAATGCAGATTAATGTTCTTCTCCATTTTCTATTGTTTTTGCTTTCTCCTCTTCTAGACATTCAAACAAACTTTCTTGTATAATAAACCACAGAATGCAGATTAATGTTCTTCTCTATTTTCAATGTCAGGTATCATGGGTTACCACTGGGTTTCACTATGTAGAGGGCAGAACAAGTGTTTGAAAGTGTTGGGTTCAGGCAAAGCAGAAGGTAGAGAAAATATTTCCTGACTGTGAGGAATAAAGCTGCTTTTCCAAAAACTTCTGAAATGCACTAATTTTTTTCATTTGGTTGAAAATCAGCAGTGTGAATATGAACCATCTTCATACCTTCTTGGTCTTCCTGCTTTCCTTTTACTGAGATTGAACTCGGGAGAAATTAATGCACCGGCCCTAGGAAAGAAAAAAAATTCTTATTAAAACAAAAAAGCATAACGAAGACCGAGTTTTCCTACCATGGTATGATAAACAATTACCAATGCTAAGATAAGACTTGAAGTCATAAGGTTTTTTCCTTGGGCAAAGAATGATAGTTCATTCAGATCTTTTCCGAAGTAAGTTCACCTACACAATGGCATGGTAAAGTTAGAGTTGAAAAAACTCTATGGAAAATAGAACTATGTTATTGCTATTTAAAGTATAGCATTACTGTCCTAGTAATAAACATCAGAGCTACAACCTTGTGTTTCTTTTCATAATGAATTTAAATGAAAGTATCCTTTTATGCAATCTGGTGCTTTTTAAATTGACGTGAAACTGGTACTTCTAAAATGTATAGATGAAGAATGCATTTAAGAAGTAATAAGAGACTGAGAATAAGGAGTCAAGGGGAAAGGGAAGAGGTACTGTCTCTGTGATTCCATTTTTTAACAGGCTTTTGCAAGAGACTTAGCAAACACTGCTGTTGACCACATCTCACAACTGCACACCATTATGTGTTCTCTCTAAATGGTGACTATTTACTTGCATTCCACATTTCCAAAGAGAATTTGCCATTCCAATTCCATAGCAGTTCAATTAAAGTTGCAGAGATACTTTGTTTCATATGTATTGTAAATAATCCAATAATTATTTGGAAACAAAGTTTCCAATGAGTGATAAAAGATCCCCTCCTACTCTCTCCTTGGTATGACTCTACTGATATCCTGTACTACATAAGTCATGCCCAGATTCCTTACTAAGCTGAAAGCTATCATACTGCTTTCCGTTTAGGGTCAGGATCATCATGCTATTGAGATATTTCTATTTCTCATAATATCTGCTTTCTAATTTCAGAATTTGGAACTTTCAAATCCCTCCAAATGTGAAAAATAAATTTAAAAATATCCAATACATGGATATTCAAAAGGAACAACAAATATTTTTGTAGAAGAAAGCCTGGAACATAAAAACAGGATTTTGGTCCATTTTCCTCTTAAAAGTATTCTCAATAAATTTGGAAATTTCAGAAATTAATGAAGAAACAAAAAGGTAGAAAAGCAAACTCTTTTCCATTAGCTTTTACCTGAAAGGAAAACATTAATCAAATTATGTGTCTTCCACATAATTTTGGAGGCAACATTATTACAATGGTCAGTTTTACTACTTATACTTAATCTCTACAAATTATATCTGTGCAAAAGGAATTGGGAGAAAAGCAGAGAGAAGACCACCTTAGAATGAGGTCAAAATTCCATGGTAATGCAATGGTCATAGTCTTTCATGTACTCAGACTGTATTTTTGTAATATCTAGAACTTTCAAACAAGATATTTAGAATGAATATTAAGCGAAGGAACTCTTCTCCAGATTAACTATGATGCCAAAAGCAAAGAAAGCATTTAAAATATTATTTTGGTGATGTATCCTTTTTCTAAACATTTTTTCATCAGGGGATGGTGGGAAAATGAAAGAATTAATAAATATTTGAGGAAAACCATAAAACAGTGCTTCTAAGCCACAATAGTGTTAGCTATACATGTAATGAGAAACTATGCACATTAAAACAGTGATGAACACTAAAAATATTATTACCTGGTTATTTTTCAGAATCAAACACATGAGGACTGATATTATGGCAGCAAAAATATGAATTAATGACATCTTTTGTGTACTCATTGATCAAAAAAATAAAAATTCTGTCTCTTCTGCATAACTTTGTAAAGAAGTTATCATGAACCTCTATTTCTATTTTTACTTGAGTTTCATGACTAATTAACTAGATATAGATATAGGACTCCTTCTCTGACTACTTCTGTCCTATACTCCAGGTTTATCTTGGTGACTGATTTATTTACTCGAAGCAACTGGATATTTTAAAAAGTGAGATTCATAGTTCACCTGCATACTCAAAAACACTTCCACAGTTAAAAATTATTTCAGATCCAAATTATTTTCCATTTCATTTGGTATGATTTAATTAAAATCACAGAAACTCAAATGAAGAAAACCCTATTGACTTTGACCCTGAGGTCTTTACTTCAACTCTTCTAAAGCTTGTGATTAAGTATTGATCAACAGCTGTCAAATGTCTGTTGTTGAAGTACCAAAAATCCTTCTAAATACAATATACATCCCTGTGTTAATGAGCACACACTCATTAAACAAAACAACCAAATATCTTCTTCCCCCTAATCCAAGACTCAGTGTTTCCCACTTTTAACAGCTGATATTGTCTGGGTGCATTTTTATTTTACAGAAACTTAAAAGTTGGTAACTTGGAGGAGTTATATTCAAGAGTTACTTCCTCTGTTAAGCATTGTCCAGTTCTCCCAGTCATGGGCATCTTCTCCCAAAGGTCCCATTGCATCTGCACTACAGCAAAACCACATTATACTAAAATTGTTTGCTCAAATATCTAAAAAGAAAGATAACAGCAGTTAAGTCTGAGGGCTTCAAAGCCTGAGTATGTATCCCAGCTCTGCCACTGACTGTGTGACTATAGGCAACTTAGTTAACTACAGTGTAACTTAGTTTCTTCATCAGTAAAATCAGGATTAAAAATTAGACCTATTCTTAAGACTGTTATAAAGATTAAATCTGTTATTATATATAAAGCACATTGAACAGTACTGGCATATAGTAAACTCTCAGTTAAAAAATAGGCAGTTATTATCCATCTCCTCTCTACAATGTCATTGCACAGTGTCTAACATGGAGTAGACTTCCAACGATTACTTGGAACAAATGGAATGGATGGTGAATGCATAAATGAATGAATACATAGTGACTAGATCTCTACTGTTGGAAGAGATAGACTTTAAAAAATGGGAAAACAGTAAGTATGAATTTGAGAGATTAGGGGATTACAAAAGAGAGAAATACAGTGGAAAAGAGAGAAAACAATATGGAAGAAATGGGAGAGAGTAGCTATAAAGAAGAAAAGACAGAAAAGAAATAATGAAGAAAAAGAGAAACTATTGGTCAGAAAGAAATTTTTATTCAGTATTTCATCAGGCTCCCAGGGGATTATTTCATGCTAGCTGTTACCATACACTTACTGGAATATTATAAAATCAAGGCAACACACTTGGTTGTAAGTGGCTGAGATTAGGTGTCTGTGGCCCTCTGAATACTACTCAAAACTGTCTTACAAACCCACTGTGATAATGCTTATTATGTTTAAGGTCAAGAATGTTTGGGCTGCCACTTATATCATGGCAAGCGGTCTGTGCCAGAACACTGCAGAGTGATTTTTATTTGCAGGAAATGGAATATGACAAGGTTTAAGGTCTATCACGTTCTCATGTTAATGATGCCTACACAAGCTGCATTCATCCCGCCGGTTCCTGGACTTGCCATTGGAATGAAGAAGGAGATATCTAAGCTGGCCTGTGCATACAGCAAAACAACAAATTTGACTGGATCTATATTGTCGGAACTCAATCAAGAATTAGGAGAAGTGCAAGTTGCAGTGCTCCAAAATCGTGCGACTATAGACTATCTACTGTTAAAAGAACTTATGGGATGTGAACAGTTCCCAGGAATGTGTTGTTTTAATTTGTCTGACTTTTCTCAAACTATTCAAATTCAGTTAGACAATATCCATCATATTATTGATAAGTTTTCACAAATGCCTAGAGTGCCTAACTGGTTTTCTTGGTACCATTGGATATGGCTGGTAATTGTAGGTCTGCTTTTGTTATGTATCTGTATTCCTATTCTGTTAATGTGTGTATGCAATTTAATTAGTAGTTTGTTAAAACCTATACATGCTTATGTTACTCTACAAGAAGTTATGTCAAATAAATAATCAATCTTCCAATGTTTTCTTCTGTCTGCTACTTCCATAGCTTTTCTTCTTCCTTCCTAATTACAGTCCTTTAGTAGAATTCGTGTCTCATATCGAAAATTATCGAGTATCATAATTCTTCCATGTGGTAAAGATACCTCAAGACAAATGCTGGGCATAGAAGACACAGGGCATAAATCTGCAAAGAAGTAAAAAGCTAACCTTTTCAAAGAATATTGCTTCTCTCTCACTTACCAACTTTACATTTCCCTGTATGGCCCCGGAAGACAGCTGGTTAGCCAGAGATGGGTAAGATTCCTCAAGGTACAACCTAAGACAGGCACAGTTGCAGGGGGGCCATCAGGTGAGAAATTGGGGATCAACAAAGGTGAGGCTTAGAACCTCACCCCCCCTGTTTTGAGAGAAATTTTCTACATCCGTGGATGTTTTGTTGCCCTTGTCTAGCTTGGATTAATACTTAGTCTATAGGCACAGACCTGATCATCTACATTTGCCCTCTTACAGCACTAAATTATGTTTTATCTTGCATCTACCTACCACTTCAGCATTTTATTAAAAAAAATAGGGGAGAAATGTGGGATTCACATATAAATCAAGTATAAATATCAAATGAATAATAAAAAAAAATAATGCCTACACAATAAAGGTGTTATCAAGGTAACAAGCAGAGGAATATAAAATAGCTTGAAGATACAACTCATCAAAGAATAGTACAGAATGAAAAATAGTATTAGTTAATAGCATTTATTTTTTAGAACATTTTTTTACTTTAATGACAAATAATGCAAGTGCTGAAAATTAAAAAAGTTAATTAGAAGCTATAATTAACTTTTAAGATGACCTAATAAGAAGCTATTCAATGTAACCTGTACAGAAATAGACATAGAGACATATATATATACACATTACAATTTTAATACTTTATTCTTTATCAGGTAACTGAACTACATAGCCTCTGAAATAAAGTACTGAAATTGTAATAAGCTAAAATAGATGAGCACAAGATTTCTGCTAGAAGTGTTGAAATATATATATAATACATTATACCTATGTTATACCAAATGATCTGAGAAATTTGAACTCAGGTGACATACAAGTGTTTAGGGAATAACATAATTTGATATTGTATTATAAATGACAATTATTAATAAGAAGAAATAACA